CGTTGGTGTGGGTTGTGTGTTGGGGGGGGGTGGGGGGGGTGATATTGATACGTATTAAAAGGCAAACCTGTGCCAGATATTAGATGATTGAACTCTAGCAAGATTTAATTGCAATTCTATTATTTTCCAATAGGTCTGTCTTAAAGTAGTTGTCAGATTTTTTTTCTACTGAATGTGAGCATACAATCAGTACTACAAAATGAAAAGCATGGTCTATAATGAAAGCATTAAGTTTCTGCTTTAACTGCCAAGACAGGTGATTTACCATTTCACTGAGAACATTCTTGTCTCATTACACAGAGGGCAGGTACACCAATACAGAGGCAGGAGCAAGGGTGGCACAATCTTTCTACAAAACAAACACTATGATGGTATCCTGGGCTTACCTTAAATTGCCTCATGCCTCAGCAGAAAACACAGATACCATCAATGGTGTCAGTTTTTACTCAATTAAGTATTCCAACACCACCTCTGTGAACAGAAGGAGTGAAGTGTAGTCAAGGCACAGCAGTCCTTTCATTTACCAAGGTATTGAGTAAGAAATGTCACAGAAATGTAGGGCTGATATTTGCTGCTGGGTGGTGGCAGAAGGGAGGAAGTGGAGCAAGAAGACACTTCTAGGAGTCTGGGTCTTTACTTTGATTAGATCACAGCTTTAGGACTTAGCCATGCTCAGTATTTCAATCCTACTTTTACACGATGCTTTTAGAAACAACAAATAACAAAATGGAATGTAGAATTAAAGAGGTTGATTTAAACAACAGCAGAAACAAAAAAATACAGATCTCCAAGTCCAGTAGCTCCTTAAAAAAAATCTTAAATGTCAGAAGGCATGAAAATCCTCAGTCTGACTTTCAATGTTTCAGTTCTTCTGTCCTTTTGTGGCAAAAGCATAGGCAGCTATTTGTTCCCTGGGCATGAAATATTTCACTGTGTGTGTTCTGCTGGCAATTGTCTTGCTCATTCTTAAAAAGAGCAATAAAACCCCACAGAACCAGTTAGTCAGTTGTGAGTTCTTTGTCGGGCATAGCAGAAAGGCCCTAGATAGTGGAATGTAAGCACAGCTGGACTATGAAGAGCTCAGTGCTCCAAAAGCCAGGCCCCCAAGAAAAGGAAAAATGAAAAGGATAATAGGGCAATAAAAAAAAGCCAAAGCAGAAACATAATCACTGCTACCAGCCAGGGATTATGCAGTTTTGCACTGAAATACTTAAAGTATGTTACACACAACTCTGTGTTTGTGCAAATATGTGATAGATGCAAGTATGTGATGCAGATTTGCGTTTGCTTTACAGCTAGTAAATAAAGCTGTGTATTAGCATGAAGCCCCAGAATAAAAATAAAAGAATCCTAAAAATAGCAAAGTTTGGAAACACAAAGGCAGACATGATTTTTTTTCAGCATCAGCAAGGAATCATCTGTCACAGACTAGAGCTTAAATTTTGGATCATGGGACACGTACCTCTTCGTGTTCATTGATGCCTTCATCATCCACTTGTTTGTGAGAGGATCAAATACTTCCATGCTTCCCAGGTGTTCATTTCCATCATGTCCACCTACTGCATAGACTTTACCTGCACATATAAATATCTTTTTAAACAGATATTGCTTGGCATTATTTCAGGTTTTATTTCTGTAATATCCCTGCTTACCTGGAGACAAAAAGCTCAAAGGTGAATGTTTTCAAATGTTGTTGTCAGTATCAGGATTTTAATAAGTATAGACTTTGTATTTTTATATGCTGTGCTCAACCAGAGATCTGCTCTAATGTGGACTGTTCTACAAATCTTGAGGTTATATAGACAAAAAAAATCTCATAAGTTGAGTACTGCAGGTCAGATCAGTTTCGGACATTTTTATCGGTCTCACCAGATTTTTGAGGTGGGGAGGGAGGGAAAGATCTCTGGTCTGCTGCAGCAACACAGGGGCTACCATGTACAAAGAAATGCTGCATCACAAGCCCAGCATAAGAAGGATGTGGACCTGCTGGAGTGAATCCAGAAGAAGGCCGTGAAGATGGTCAGGCTGGAGCATCTCTCCTATGAAGATAGGCTGAGTTGGGCTTGTTCAGCCTGGAGAAGGCTCAGGGGGGAGGCCTTAGAGCAGCTTCCAGTATCTAAAGGGGGCCTACAAAAATGCTGGAAAGGGACTTTTTACAAGGGCATGTAGTGATAGGACAAGGCAGAATGACTTTAAACTGAAAGAGGGTAGATTTAGCTTAGATACTATGAAAAAATTCTTCCCTGTGAGGGTAGTGAGACACTGGCAAAGGTTGCCCAGAGGAGCTGTGGCTGCCCCATCCCTGGAAGTGTTCAAAGCCAGGCTGGATGGGGCTTTGGGCAGCATGGTCTAGTGGAAGGTGTCCCTGCCCATGGCAGGGAGGCTTGGAACTAGATGATTTTTAAGGTCCCTTCCAACCCAAACCACTCTATGGTTCTATGATCATGGGTGCTAAGCTGCCCTGGACTGTGTGGTTTCAGAAGACGGAGACCCAAAAATAAAGGTAGGTCTCTCCTTGGAAGAGTTATGGTCTTAGTGACTTGCCTGTATAGATTTAAGTATGAAGAGAGCTATTATAAGCACTAGCAAATTCTGGGTAACTGCTGTGTAAGGCCATTTCTTTGTAAATGGATTTAAAAAACAGTATCACATATTAAGGCAAGAGGCTGTATACAGTTCATAGACTCACTGACTAGTTTGAGTTGAAAGGGACCTCTGAAGGTCACCTAGTCCAACCCTCCTGCAATGAGCAGGGACATCTTCAATTAGATCAGGTTGCTCAGAGATGATCAGGGATGGAGCATCTACTACCTCTCAGGACAACCTGCTCACGTGTTTCACCACCCTCATTGTAAAAAAATCTATCTTCCTTCCTTTATTCAAAAATTGAACCCCTCGTCCTACTGCTACAGGCCCTACTATGAAGCCTGCCCCAATCTTTCTTATAAGCCCCCTTTAAGAACTGAAAGGCCACAATAAGGTCTGCCTGGAGCCTTCTCCAGGCTGAACAGCCCCAGCTCTCTCACTTCACATAACGTTTTTTTTTCAGTAAGCCTGCTCTCAGATTGTTTCGGAATTAAAACCTCTTAACGGGAAGACGCTTTACTAAATTTAAGACTATTCCAACAGTTAAGCAAGTGAAGTAGTAGAAGTACTACAATTATAACTAGTAGAAGCACTAATTCCATCAAACAAGTGCCTTTTGAACAGTTGCTTGAATGGGGTTACTGACCTCCCACAGAGATCACACCCACGTGCCTTCTCCTGCTGTTCATTTCGGGGCCGAAGAACCAGTTGTTCTTACTGATAGAGTAGCATTCAATGCTCCGAAATGGGTCGCCTGATCCACCTCTACCACCAACACAGAACAACACACCTGAAGAAGACAAAAGAGGTTTCCAGAAAGCAGGCACAAGGGGGATAAAGTCGTATAGCAGAGTGAACTGAAAATTACGTAGTTTGGGAGAAGTCATATTTCACTTCAAAGGGCATGGTTGTTGCCCTCCATAACTGGGTGCTGGAGTCTCGACTTTGCTTGGCATGCTGCTATGCCAATTAACTATCTGTGCTCTTGCAAAAACAATGCGTATTTTAAATATGCTTTTTGTGATTTTGCTTAGAGAGATAAACAGATTTTGTTAAACATAACAATTAGGATTTGCAGTCTAATATTCATCACTTACTTTTGATGTAGGTTAGCCAAAGAGTTTAAAAGTTGGCTCAACCTTCTCACACCAAAAGGTAAGTGTCTGTTGTTTTCAGTACAGTTTTGAGCATAGTGCCTGGTCATACCATACTTAACAGTTCTGGCTTTAATACAGATAGAGCTAATCAGGATAAATAATGATTTAAACAAACAAAATGACTGCTAAAGTTCTGCTAGGAAAATGCAGCACATTACCTAATTACCAGAAAGGTAACCAATGGCTTTCCCAGTTTTACATTAAGTCATTAACAACCATTTACACCAAGCCAGCTAACCCTGCACAGATGTGCTGCCTTTTCTCCACACCACTTCCTACTGGATAATCAGACACACATTTAATTACCAGCAGTCTGCTTCCTTGGTGTTGTGCGAATGGAGTACTCAAAGTCTGGCACTGCCCTGCTGCTCAGGTGAAGGTGGTAGTTTCTTGCTTCATCCAGCAAATCCCTACATTTTAGATTCTGCTTGACAATCTCTTCCTTTGCCACAACACCCATAAGGAAACAAATGGGCAAGAGAGGCAGCCGTACCTGACAGAAATGAACACAGTTGGAGTAACTGGCTGAACTGACTGAGTCTCACCATTTACAGTGACACACGCATAACAGACAGCAGCTTCTGAATCAGCTGGCAGCCCCATGCTCTTCACTAAAAAGAGGCTTTCATAGTTTTTTTTCCAGAGTAACAGCGATATGAACGGTTCTTTTTTAATGACAAATGTTTGCCACAACCATTTGCATTTAAGCAGCACTGGAGAACTATGCCTTGGCCCAGGCACCTGCCTGGTGTGATGCAGGCAGTACCTGTGACTTTACCAGGATAGCCCATGTCAGGTTAGTCTGCTGAGGGTATGGCTTTTCAGCTCATTGCTATGCCAGCGTAAGAGGCCTTTTGCTAGAATGGTTCATATTCTTTGGGTGGCAGGTCAAAAAGGAAACACTGTCAGCGTGAACTAAGTTTCTCTCAAGGAAGGCATTGCTAGTGTAGTAACACTTTTCTCTAGTGTGGATCTGCCTACACGATTTAAAAAACAAAACCAAACAAAAGAATGCCTTGAAAGCTAATATTTTGTTTCTGTTTCCTTCCTGTAGTTCCTCAGAAGAGAGCTGGTGACCAGGTGGAGGAATGGAAGGGTCTTTCTGGGTGCAACTACAGGTATTCACTGCCCAGGGCAATCCCCAGTGACAGGGCAGATCTGAATTAAGGTCAGGTTCTCCAAGACTGCCTTGAAATGTCCTTTTCCCCACAGCCATTTATTTCAGCAAACCTTTCATTTATCCTCACATTATCATGTGAGAGAAACAGTGAGGATTGTGAAGTACAATCAGGCACAAAGGTGGGATGTGTTAGTAGGGGGGAACTGAAGTAAACCAGCATCTGACTTCCTAAGGTTTGGAGTCAACGCTGCCAAGCAGCTCCCAATTAGTTCAGAGGCAATGGTGAAGAAGTCCAGTATCTGCGGTGCTTCTCAGAGCAGCAGGATGGTGCTGTTATATGGCTGGCAGGTGCCCCTGTCTTCAAGTAAGCAAGTGTCTGTACCAGTTCTTCCTTGCCCAGGTGCTTTCAGTCCCACTTCTTCATTTACTTTGGCCCAGCTTATTTTAGGCTGATTAAAAGCACCACAACAGCCCTGCTAACAGACTTGTGGGGTTAGTGATGCAGTAAGAATTCAAGGCTGACAAATTCAGACCTTCGTTATAACAGCAAAACCTGTAAGGCTGATTATGATGTGGATAATAACTGTCAAGAAGCAAGCCCTGTCATGTTTTCTCCTAGCACTAATGTTCAGATCAACTGATGGCTCCATATACTCTGGCAAATAACCCGTATTTACAGGAAGGGGCTTACTTTTTCATTGCTTTATTCTAGACTCTTGTTTTCATGACTAGAATAAAGCTGTAAATCTCTTCTCCTAGAATAATTGCATAATATGTCTTGTTATATTTTTAAATCTAAAGTTATATTGCCTATGAATTTAATCACAGTGTACTAAAGAAGGCTTTTTTGTACCAAAAAATCTTATGCTTGTCTAGATGAAACTGAAAGGTTTTGGAAAACAGTTGTGATCTTTTTACCAGGAAGTGTGAAAAATGACGCATGAAGACAACGACAGCAGTATGTCAGCAGACCGCCTGTTACTCACATCATACCAGTATTAGCAATTCTGCCAATGCAAAACATTCAAGTTGGAGTTCAGTGACACCTGAAACAGCACAGTTGATCCTACCTGCTAAGATCACATTGCATTTTGCAGCACATAGCATGCAGCCCCCTTTTTGCCAGCACAGGTTCTCCATACCTATCTCTACCTATACTGTATTTTATACTCCTATAACCAGCACATTTAGAGCTTGAATAACTGAGGGTATTTAGATACGTTCAACTGAGTGACCTTTTGATACTTGGGTGTTTCTTTCAGAAGAAGCAGACTCATATCAAGTCTAGATGATTAAACTGCCAACTCCTTTCAGATCCTACGCGTAAACAGTAGTGCTAGTCTAGTGAACATGGAAGGGTCTAGAGTATGTTTCCTATCCCACTCACTGGGCTAACACATCTTGGTCTTTTGTTAATTAAATATATGGAATATTCTTAAAGTAGCACAACTTGCTATGACACATCTCTATTACAGTTTTACTTTCCCAGCCATGTAAAAAAACCTCAGCAGCTTTGCTCTCCTTTTTTAAGTACAGATTCCTACAAGCAAGAGAAGCGAGCATTTCAGGCTGTAGTAGGATCAAACCAAGTGAAGTGATGGCTTTGCTCTCCACTATGTGTAAATCTAAGGAGTTTCTGCTCTAACAAAGATGCAGCTTTTTGTTGGCTCCCCACCTCCCAGCCATGAGCATAAAGTAAGTACTCCTCTCTACAGAAACTGGAGAATACCACTTCTTCCTGATACTCAAAGAGATTTAACATGCTTCCATTATCAACTCACAACTGTAAATACCAGGTAAGTCACCAACTGGTAAGAACATATTTAATCTTGAGATCTACCTTAAGTACAAACAGTTGATTATAAATCTTAAATCAGTAATGAGACAGACACCGGGAATCTTGGTCTGCCCTACCTGGGCAAGTATTTCATCCAGCCATGTAGCATGATGCTGTGGATTGGCGAGCAGCCACTTGATAGCAGCATTGTAAACTTGCTTTTCATTTTCAATATTCAGGTCACTGGAGGACAGGAGTTTATGGAGGTGCTGTGGTGACACACTCACAAAGTCTTCACACTCCACCACCTCTGTGAAATGCTGGCAAGCATACTGATCCGCCATTTCCATCAAGTCAATGCGGTTGTGGCTTTCTGCAAATGCCCTGACTGCCAGGCAGTTGGAAGGATGGAAGTGTAGCTTCATGTATTCACAGCATGCCTTTGCTACCAGTTCCACCTGCAGAATGCAAGCAGCGTACAAGAGAGGCTGGACGTTATCCACCGTCAGAGTAAGCCGGGAGGAGTACACAAACTTCACTAGGTCTTCTATTGCATCGCCATCAAAGTCCCTGATCTCAATCAACGTCTGCTTGGCTTCAGCCATTTCTGAGAGGAACATGGCTCTGAAGTAAGGTATAACACAAGCTAGCACCAGTTTGTGGCAGGAGATAAGTTTTGAACCAACCTGAAAAAAAAAAAAAGAACAAAAAACCCCCTAATCTTTTACTGGAATGTCAGTTTCAGCTATGAAAGGATGGACAGTTAAACTGAAATAAGAATTCTGAACTCAATATATATTGAGCTACTGTATTTTGTTCAAATTAACTCCATTTGCCCTGTACTTCTGATACAGATCAATGTATCTCAATCAGATCTGAGTTGAAACTTGGCTGTAATGCAAGAAAGCAATAGCACTGATGTGCTGAACTTTTCTTTAAGAGCTGTGTCCTATTTTTAAAATGAAACATCCTTAGAAACCTTCTGGCTGCATCTTGGAGACAGGAGGCTGCTAGGCTCTTGTTTGTTTAATGTGTATTCAGAGACGGTGGGGATTATAAATTGACATTTTTAGATTATTTAATTTAAACCTTGGGGCTTGTATTACTGCTGAGGAACTGATAGAGCTGTTTATAGAAGCAAATTCCTGTAAAGCCACCACAGTAACAGCTATTACAGGGATTACTGAAAGTTACCAATCACTTCAAGATTTTTAGAAGGTGTTTAGCTACGAAAGATAGAGTATTCCCCAAAAAGACAATGTCTTTTTCAAAATTCTGATCAGAAAATGTGCAAAATAAGCTTTTCACTAACAAACGTATAGAATTCAATTACACTAAAATGAGAATGTAAACACTACTTATTTGTATTACAGGAGTGCTTTCTTACAGCATTTGTCATTCTGCAGTCTGCACTAACACAAAGGGGGTGGCTGACTTTAGTAACCAGTTTCTCTGACAGACTTGAATTACATGTTCACTTTCAGATGAAGGTGTTACTGAGCTATCTTGCAATTTCAAAAAAAAAAAAAAAGGTATTACATTATAAAGGATAAGTTGGAGGTTTTTTTCTAGCTCAAATTCAATACACAGTAGCTCTACTCTTAAAAGTGTGTAACCTGCCTGGTGAGTAGTAAGTTGAGTACACAAAGCAAACACATATGAAAGAGTACACAGATTAAAAGAGAGGAAAACATAGATGGTTCAGTGTGAGTTAATCAGATCACTCCAGAAGGAACAATCCATAGACCTACCAAGTGAACAAAAACCCAAACCAACAGGAGAAAAGCAGATGGTATGGATCTGCCACTCTCCACCTTCTAACAGGGAGCTGTTCATATGACAGTATCATTATAGTAGGTGAAATTCCAGATTTTAAACCTTTGGAGCAGAGGAAGTCTCCCTGTGTGCTCCCACGGTTTGTCACTGTTACAGCAGTACTCCAACTAATTACAGTGCTGACGCAAAAAGATGCTACCAGCTGGTCTGCTGTATCAAGGAAAGCTCCTTGGCCATTTTCACCTTCAGAGATTTTTATTCTGCCCATCCTCCCACTCTCTAATTAGATCTTTCTTTTGAATTTTTGAACCTGTTAAATTTAAAGTATCTAGCATGTTCTTGGTATTTTTAAATTGGAATTCCCCTCCAGTTAGTAACTATCATATTTTAAAAGCCAGCAGTTAAATCAATAATTGGCCTGACAACATCAATGACAGAATTGCTCACTATCATAGGTCGCACACAAAAGTGGAAAGTTCAGTAGAGAAGTAGTTATTCCTAAACCATGAGAAATGCCTGAGCACTACAGAAAGAAAAATCAAGCACTTCAGAAAATTCTAGTTCAAGTTTTATTTCCAGCTACTTGAAAATCACTGATTTCAGAAGCCTTACGGTAAGATGTACACAGGTGCTCTAGCCTCCACTGATCATATTTTCCACTTGCAGACTGGAAGCCAAGTCATATAATCCAATACTCTTAAATTACCAATGTCGCTCCACACAAATAATACAAATGGACATTAACACAAGCCTAACGTAGGGAAAGTTATAATGCAGCCACAGTAAAGTGTATTTTCCAAGCCAAGTTTCCCTAGCAGGAGTATACGTTTAACTGTTTATAAAATAAGACTTCCTACCTTTTTTTGCAAGGGTGAGTGGAAAGGGAAAAAAGTGAGGATGACATCCAAAAAAGGTAAGAGGGTTGTTAAGCGTTCTGACATGTACCTTCTTCCCCAAGCCACCTTTTAAAATGACATATGTAAAAAGACCTGATGATGAGCAATGGGGCAAGTTCTGCTTCGTGGCTCTTGTGCTGTCTGGAGCAGCTTCAGTATTGTCATTCTGCGTCCTATGAGCATTACCTGAACTGTTATGAGCCACTGCACCTATTCCAGTGCCTGCGACCTAGTATCTGCTGCAAACCAGAACAGGACAATGTTCTTGCTTATTCTACTTGTGCTGTCCACTGGGGCAGGAGGGAGAGATACCTTCTTCCTCTCACACATTCCCATTGTCTCCCAAGCATTTCAGAAAGATGAGCTGCCTACTGGGGGAGCATCAGGGACACACATCTGTCAAGGATTTTCCCTGTTAATATCTAATAGTAAAAGCAGCAGACAAATTATTTCTCTTAAAGCCATCTGTCATCTGCTCTTGGACCAAGTCTCCTTCATCTCTGTTTCTTAAATAACTATTTTGCACTACTAAGATGCCCAGCTAACTAACACTTCATATTTGTAGGCACTGGCAACCCCTGTTATGGATGCTAGATATAAATTTATTGTGATCAGGATATAAGTAACATACAGATGAGTTACAAGGAATGCATTAAAGCAATGCTATGCAAGAATCCTAAAACTGGTTTCCTCTTCCTCCTTTACTCTTCCATCAGCCGTGGAACATGATTGTCTGTTGGCTTTTTTTTTTTCCCCCTTTGAGAATGCTGGAAGCTAGATTTGTTCCAGAAATCCTGTTTGCCAGGGAAGATCTAGCAAAGCAATGCAGAATGCAAAAACAGACATTAAATTGGGGATGAAAGTGTGTGAGAGGCAAGGAGGCTACAAGAAGCTGAAACTGCACAGTAAAATACTGATCAACTGTGGGAACTTGCTTAGCAGGCAAATTGGATCAAAGTCATGAACTTCCTCTCTCAGGCTGTCAAGAACTTAAGTGTTTACATTTCAATTGTAAACTTCCTAAATAAGAAAAAACCCCACAAACATATCTAGAGATGCCTCAGATTCAATAGGTATTCTATGGCTTCCACACCCATGCCCAAATTCACAGCCAGCTCCAGCACGTGTATTTAAAGCTGAAACTTCAGACCGCTAAATGCAATGAATGCGTGACAGGATCACCTTCAGTGTAACATCGCAGAGCTCTCCAGCTTCAAAGAAGTGAAGAAGAGAGCTGTGAAAATCCTTCCAAGCCTCATTTGCTTCAAATACAAAGATGTCATCTTCACCATCACTATTGGAAGACCTAGTTTGCTGCTGCTGCCGCCTTCTTCCCTTCACCAGATGTTGTTTGCCCTGCTCTGGGACCATGGATTCTGAAGCCATTGGCTGTTTCTTCTTTCTTCGCGTGAATCTTCAAAAATCCCTGTCAAGACAAAAATCCAGCCCATCAGGAGTCAAGTCCTAAAATGCAGTTAAGTTCTGTTCATTTTCCTGTTTTAAAACAACCACAAAACCAAACCTAAAAAAAACACAAAAAAAGCAGACAAAACATCAGGTACTGCTGGTACCTAACACTGTGATTACATGTTATAAATACTACCTAAAATCTTATGTCAGGAAGGTGGGAGGAGAAGGGGGAAAAAAAGAGACACAGTCAGGAATCCTATGCATGCAGCTTTAGGAAAAGCCATTGTTCGTGAAGTTGTTGCCTACACTTCTTGAAAGAGACTATATTAAGAGTCTAAGTGACCATCAAAGAAAGTGACTGATGCTAAGGAAACTAAAGGAAGTGCCTCAATCATAACATCATCTGTTATTCCTTGTAGACAGCTGCTTGACACTTTCCATGAAGGGGTAACTGTCTGAATAAAAAAACAAAGCACACATTGTTTACAGCTCACCATTGTTTGCTGAGAGCAAGTCAGTAATCTTATTGTTCAAGTTAAATATTTAGAAATATTGATGATGTTTGCTGTTCCGAGAGTGCAGCTGTTTAAGAGTTGGTGTTCTGGTCCCTAGCTATTCCTCACTATCAAACTTAGAAAAGCAAGCAGGGATGGGAGGTCAGAGCATAAGCATGTTATCTTAATTCTCCAACAATTCAAACAACAGTAAAATCCTAAAATGAAGCAATTTTGATTCAGACATCCTAGCTAAATCTGAAACTGAATTACATGCAAAATTCCTTAAGTCACGCGTTCAGCTGAGGTAAAATGCCTCAAATAATTTTGAAACAAAAAGAAATGAAAGACATTTGACAGTGGCAGTATGGTAGGACATGAATGAACATTGCTCTGTTTTCACCTGTCATGAAATTAAACACCAGGAATCCTCGCTGACAAGACAACCTAGATGCTGGAGTACATGGCCTCCTCCCCCATCAGCTACCTTGGGAGACAGTGTCCCAGAAAGAGCAAACCTCCTTATTCTTCCACTGACACAAGGGAGGAAGACATTTCAGTGATACAGAAAAGAATAAAACCAAGATTCCCTCTAGGCGCTGTTCAGACGAGAGGTATTATGATACCTGTAAATCCAATGCTTTTTATGAGCAGTGGTACTGAAGATGGGAAAAAAGAAGGCAAAAACCCAGGAGAAATCAAGATACAGGTGAAGTTTCACCAACTATTCTATACGTAATTTTGTTTACCCACCCACCATATGAACAAAAATCACATCATGATCTGTGCAGGGAACGGCAGGTAGCCTCACTCAGGAAACAAAACGGGCTTTTAATTGAAGAAGATGAGAAATTTGCCTTCTGTAAAAAGCAGAGTTTGTAGCCGTGTGAGCAGGGAGGTTTTATAAGCCACTCTAGCATATACAGGCTGCATGCATATAAATATATACAAGTTTGTTCGTGTGGCTGAGTAAAACTAACTTGTATAATATAGAGCCGGATGAGTCTGTACAGGTAATTATGTGCTGGTGCTGCTGGCCACAAGATTAGATAAGCATATGCAGTGACAAGATCTTCTCCAATTTAATCTAGCTAACAGAACAAGTCTAGCTGTTGTCCTGTGTTGTACTAAGAAAACCTGAACATTTGAAAAGAGGGCAGCTGGCAGAGCTAAGGAAGAGACAGAGGGAAGGAAGTGGGAAAGGCAGGTTTTTGCAGTGCAAACTGCAGCCAAGCAGCAGCTTTGGCAGGGATTGCACAAGGAGCTGTTTGCTGTTCAGTCTGGTTACAAATGCATCACCAAGAAGGAACATGGGATAAAAACTGATAGATAAAAATAACAGTGTAGAAAAACCACAGTGCTCTCCCCTTCTCCATTCGTTGGTCCCATCAAAGGAGTTATGGAAACCTCATGCAAAACTGCTCAGATGCCCATGCTAATTAGATCAAACCAGACAAGGTTGGAAAACACGGGAAAGGTCAAGTTTGAAGCCTAAGCTTACTGTACTTTTCAGCAGAAAGGTAATTTAAC